CCTATGTCAACAGCTGCAACATTCTAATCTGTTACCATAGAAACCAAAGGTGTGTTTAAGGTGAAACAAAGAAAGGCCAGCCGCCCATGTTCCTGACCTGCTAGTAGGGGATGTGTGGTGACCAGTCTAAATTCAATAAACTCTGTTTTCCCCTAAAATTGAATCCTTTGGTCTTCTGTAGAAATCAGCCCATCTTCCGCTACATGAGTTCCTTTCTTGTCCCTTTGATGCACCCACTGCTGCGCACTGCAATGGGCCCGCATCCTCACTGCTGAGCGCTGTGTCTCCCTCACATGCACACTGCTGAGCACTTTCATCGCCCTCACTCTGCATTGTGAGAACTTCCTTACTTCTAGCACTCCCAAATGTTCCTGCACCAATTCTAGACCTGATCCAAGCCACTTCTCCACGGTGACCCATGCTACTTTACTGAGGAAATATACTGATAAATTAAAATGTAGATCTGGGAAGTTATATGGAAAGGAAGCTATAGACGTTGACAGGAAACCAGCCTCTCATGGCTGTCACCTTTGCACCTACTCCTCCACTGACCCTCAGGTCATTCTGTCCTTGTGCCCCCTTCTGGTCACAAGTGCCCCTACAGAAAGTTTGGGTCTGTGCTTACACTGAGGTCCCCTCACTGTGCTTCTCTCACACACTAATACACGGCTAAGTCCTGGTACCTTAGACTGTGTCCCTGCAGATAAGCCTTGCCTTTGGAATTGTCTCTGGAAAGTGTGCATCTCCCTTTCACAGATGTGACATATTCTGTAATGTACCCATTATCTTTCTTTGGATTTCTAACCAGATCACCCCACTGCAGGCCCTTCCCTGAGCCTGGCAGTCCCAGTCCATATAGTATCCAGAGGCTGCACAGGACGGTAGCAGGGACTCCTGAGACTGCACCTCCTCTGGACTCCACCTGCTGCAGCTCAAGCTGAACATGTGCACACACAGAGACATCCTGCTCAGGAACCCCTCACACATCCCACTCTTTATGCTACCGTGTCCAATCACACCCTCGTTGCCTCTTGTCATTCATGAATCACCTTTCAAATAGGAACAGCTTAACAGAGCAGAAGTGTTACTCTTGATTTCAGAGCATCTGATCTAATTTCAGGTGAATCCAAAGCAGAAAGTTCAAGGTGGAAGCACGATGTGGAGGAGATTTTCCAATTCTGCAGGGAAAGCAGAGCCCAGAGGAAGAGAACGAGCAAGAGCCGTACCTTAAAGGCAAAGCCCCGGGACCCACCTCCTCCAGCACCACGTTCATCTACATACATCACTGATCCAATCATGACCCAGTCATCTCTCCTGGGTTCCTGCGCACATTCAGGTTGAAAATTAAAATGAACTGGAACAACAGACCACCAGAAATCAGTCTCCTAAATGTCTCTCCTGTGAATTCATAATCCAAATCAAAGAAAACCAGAGTCAGGTGGGCCCTGCTGCTGCCTCAGCCAGGGAGAGCTCATCCCCCAGGGTTTCTGACACTCTCAGGATGTGGTATGCTCACTGTGTCTTGCACAGTAATACATGGCTGTGTCTCCAGCCTGCAGGCTGCTGATCTGCAGATATGCTGTGCTGACAGAGGCATCCAGGGAGAAGACAAATCGTCCTGTGAAGCCCTCAGCGTATATTGGCTTTGCAGTTTTGGTGTTGATCCAGCCCATGTACTGCAGGCCTTTCCCTGGCACCTGCTTCACCCAGAATATACTATAGCTGGTGAACATGTGCCCAGAGCCTTTGCAGGAGACCTTCACTGACTCCCCAGGCTTCTTCAGCTCAGGCCCAGACTGCAGCAGCTGGACTTGCGAGTGGACACCTGTGGAGAGGACACAAGAGCGTTGGGCACAGCGGAGCTGGCTGAGTTTCCTCCGCAGCCCTGGGTGCTGGGTCCTTCCCTGGGGCGGCCACCGGCAGGAGAAGGAGTCTGCATGCCCACTCCATCCTGAGCAGGGTTTGAACTCTGATTCTGGGAGACCGATGGGGTGAGGCCCTTGCTGTTTGAATCAGGGAGCCTCGGCTTTCTACTCAGCATAGAACATCTATGTGGACAATTAGAAACTACAGCAAATACAGCCTGTGTTTATCCCAGAACAGGTCATGAGCACTGCTAAGATAAAGAGTGTGTAGTGAGTCTGACAGAGATTCCCACAATCACCGCAGGATGGGGACTTTGCTTTCCATATGGGAGGAAAGAGAAAGGAACAACGGAGCAGTCACCTGACAAGATGAGGAGACAGAAGAGTTCCCGAGTAGCCTCCAGAATCCACCATAAGGGGACAAGGCAAACTTGAGTTGGAGTCACCTTCAGATGCTTATGAGCCTGAGGGTCTGGTATGAGGAAGTGGAGCAGGATGGGCTCTGAGGTGTCCCTGCCAGGGCTCAGCCCAAGACATAGCTCAGCAGGGCAGAACAGCCTGATAGAGATGGGCAGGGCAGCACAGCCAGCATGGGGGAGCCATCCCCACAAAATGTGTAAACTTCCTGCCCACATCTGCAGAAGTAAAGGCTCCTTAGTAATGCCTCATTTTACAAGCTAAGGAAAATGAGTTCTAAATGATAATGCTTATCACTGCCAATTTCCATACATGTTTTTCTGGTATTTTCTAAATGCAGAGCTCAGATAAACTTGTACCGACGTGTATTTGTGGTGTTTTCATTATATCATGATAGCATTTTCCATTACAATTTAGAATTGGACCTCCAGAACCTTTATTTAATAGCTGTGTCATATTAATATGTCCCTGAAGTTTAACGTCTGCTCTTGTGTCCCTCTCATACATGAATGTCAGTTTTTTCTGCATATAAAAATCCTGGCCCCATTTCTCATCAACTACATTCAACATGGGCACTTTTGCTATCAAAACTTCTGGTCTGATAATTCCATTTGAGGTTACATATTCTTTTTGTATTTCTTGGTACGTGTGAGTTATTTCTCTTAAATTTTTCCTTTCTTTAGGCATGGTGTCCAGCAGGTGTAGCAGAAATTACTGTGTGCAAGCCTGGAGCAGCTCCTGGGGCATCTTCTTGTGCCAGACGGCAGGGCTGTACTCCAAAGTCAGAGGGCGGTGGTCTTAAGTGAGGGCCAGTCATCCCGTGGGGCCTTTGTGATGATCTAAGTGTTCTCTTGGATGAGATGTGTATTTCCATCAGTGAACTCTGAGACGAGCAGATTGCCCTCTAACATGACTGTGGAGGTCATTAATCAGCAGAGGCCTGAAAATGGAACCAACCCCCAGCATCCCTGAGCAGCAGGGATTCTCCAGCAGACAGCTTCCGGTCCCCCTGCGCCTGCAGGTTCCTGTGTCTCCACCCACAGCCTCCATTGCAGAACTGGGACTTTCCAACCTTCATGGTCATGAGACCCATTTTTTCCTCAGTTTCCTGGGAAAAAAATCTCTTTCTACCTAATAACAAATCTTGCTTTTTTCTGTTTCTCCGAAGAACCTTGACTAAAACATATCTTGCGTGTTCACTCACAGTGACCAAGTAATAGAAAGAATTTCTTATTTATTTGAAATGGTAAGTAGGAATTAAAAATTTCATTTAATAAGCTATTCGAATCCTTTATTTCTTCATAAATCCATTTTGGTACACTGAGTTGTTCATTTTTGCCATTTCAGTATTTATATACAGATTTTTGTTGTACAAATGTTGGTAGCCTCTTCAAATATTCATAGCGTGTTATACTCCTGCTAAATTCTATCAAATCAGCAGGAATCTTCCTTCTTATTAATGTAATTTGAGCCTTGTCATTATGCTCTTTATTTAATCTGTGTAAAGGTAAGTTTATGTTGTT